TAGGTTGCTTGTGGAAAATTAATTTCGAAGGATGGTTAACGCAATTTGGTTTCGGAATAAACCGTGCTTGCTTTGATTTAATTAGTTGAATTCACAATAATTTATATTATCGATGTTCCGCACCGTATAAATGTCAAAAATTTATCCTTTTAACTTAGGGTTTTAACAGCAACATATAAGCTTGAATTAATTGTCTTTAACCTTTTTACCAGTAGCCGTATTGTTCGTAAATTTATTGCACTTCACATAAATAAAATTGTATGCACAACTTTAATAAATACCCCAAATGGAAATCAGGTTTTCACAGGGGTTTTCAGATCAACAATTGACAGGAAGAAGTGTTCCGTGAAGCCTTCCTTTTATTCAGAGATGATTACTGATAAGACCGGGAAGTGGAAATGACATTGTGCGCAATGTTTTATTATTGTTAGCTCATTTTTAAGGCAGCGTTTACACGCTCTATGAATTAATTAACGGATACATTGTTATCTTTCAAGGCACCTCCGTTACTTAAACTTGTTAAAAATAGGTAAATAGGTAATTTTGCACCGACTGTTCGGCTAAAAAATCAATACGCGCATAGATTCTCTTAGAAAATTTTAGTAAGAATTCCCTTCTGCCACCAAATTTTTACTTAAATACCTTGCCGAATCCAAATACGAAACGATCTCCTTTTTCTGAGCAAAACTTTTGTGGAAAACGGGCCTTCTTAGTCAATACAAATGCTCCACATTCGTCACGGGTTCGGCTTTTCGCAAAACGGAACGAAACTTTTGAGGCATGTGAGATCGTGGCAACACTGTGGCTTTTATCTTTATAATTGTTTCTTATCTTAACGCGCTTTATTTCTTGAATATTAGTTCTGTTCTTTTGACTTATGAAGCGCTACATGCTATACCGGCAATTTTGTAAATTTGCCAAAAAACCTTTAAAGCTTAGACCACCTGTTACATGATCCTATTTCAATTTTTATCCATCGTTCCAACTTAAGTATTCCTTCACCCATCCTACTCCTTTCATCCCTTTCCTACCGCCTGCCTTTCTTCCTGTGCTAATCATGGCCCGTTATCTTTGTTCCCCCACTCTCTCCCTCCTCTCTCTCCTCGTTTCATTTCTTCTTTTATCTCCCTTGTCTCTTTTGAGTGAGTCTATTGACACTATAGGGCCTACATTAGCTTTTCGCTATTGACTCTTTCCATTTCTACGAGTATCTATCCTCTAACTGAAGAACTTGTTTCTCCATTATACTTCTTTGTCCCCCTCTTCGTTGCTTTCCTCGCGTGTCCATGCTGGTTTGCTCATTATTATTGACTGTCCCTTCTTTTTTCCTTGTCTCTCTTTTCTGTCTGATCTTTTTCATCCAGTTCTTCTTAGGCCAGAAAATTAACGTGGAATACGGCGATACTGTGTAATTTTCCGCATGAAAATTTGGATTTAGGTTCTACTTACCCTCCACTTATAAGTTGAGCACAGGGTTGTTTTTTATTTTTTAGGGGGAAAAACTACCCCTATTAGAAAAAAATCGTATAATTGTAAATTAAAGCGGGTAATTGATTCAAATCACCTTTTAAAGGAGTGAATAAATCTCAATTAACATTAAACAACATAACTTAAGATTTTATCTTACCTTTAAAATACTTATAATTAAAACAATGTCATAGAATACTTTGACTCCACTGATTTGCATGGAAATTTGGATTTAGGTTATTCTTACCCTCCACTTCAAAATTGGACTTGTGCCGTTGGTTGATGTTTATTTTTTAGGAAAACTACCCCTATTAATCATATAATTGTATATTCAAGCAATTTGGGATTATTTAATTATATAGTAACATTAAATTTAGATTTATTTGCTATTTTTATATTTTACCACATAATTTCTACCCTTATAAAAACCAACCCTTGAGAAGAAGTTGTAGTAATTTTTTTTCTTCATTGATACTATAAGTATATACGGAAATTTTTTAAAAGCTATAAGATTATTCAAATTAATTTTTTTTAACCCTTATTTTTGAAAGGGTTGTAGTTGAAAGGGCTCGAATGAGTCACTAATGACGAGTGTACACAAACTTTGAACAGCCATATTTTAACCAATTTTTGTTTTACAGAAAAACAAAAAAAAGCAAAATGTTCAGAAAAGCAAAAGCTACATTTTTTTATTCTTGTAAATTTTTCGTATCACTATAAGACTTTTGAAGTTAATTTTGAAAAAAAGGCAATTTTTCAAAATTTCAAAATTTTTGTTTACTTCAAAACTACATTTTTTCAAAAACCGTCTGAAAACGTGGTTTTTTGTTGAAAAATGAACATTTTCACTTGCAAATAACTCGAATACTATTGACTTAGTGAAAAAACTGTATAGAACAAAAGTTGCTTAGAATTACTCAATTTATCAATTTCCGGCTTGACTTATTTTGAACATATCTTTTTTCCCCCCGAGAAGGGGTGACATTCACTCCCCAAGCAAAAGCAACCCTGGGCTCAAGTTCACCTTTGAAGTAGAGGGTAAGAGGAACCTAAATTCAAATTTTCAAGCAAATCCGTCGAGGCGCGAAAAATTACACGCCAAAACCGTCATTTACTGGCCTATCTCCCTTTTCATTTTATTTATTTATTTCCTGTTTTGTTTCGTTCTTTCTATCATATATCACATATATCAAATGGTATGAAAATGGTCCTCTTTATACTCAAATAATCTACATTTCCTTTCTTTATGTTATATTGTTCTTTTATTTTCTCCGTGATTTTTTCCTCCGTTCTTGCAACCCTCTTTCTTTCCACTTTTCGTCCTCAGCATTTGCTTTTATCCTAGTCGACAGGCATTCTTTCATCTTTGTTTCATTTTTCTCTTCCTTCTCGCCCTGTGCCCTATCTGTCTTTTTATGTTTTTATGTCCTGTCCTTTATCAGTCCAAAACACATCTCTGACTCTTATTTATGAATATATTTCTTTGAAATTTTATCCGTAGATGGTTTTAATAAAGTCAATCATACCGCATATTGTAAAAATAAAATGGGCGAATGCGTAGAATGCCAACTTTCTTATTTATGGCGACATTTTTTTTTGAAATTTTAAACATAGATGCTTTTAAAAAAGAAAAACAGTCATAGCCTTTTTGGGAAGCACGGTTTGGTGCATCGGGTATGCGTTAAAGTTACTCGCCTTATACCGGGTGATTCATTAGAACTGATGTCAGTTTGAATTTCCCACAAAACAAAAAATTTTAAAGGTTGGTAATAGTAGATTATCATATATAATACCATAAGTAGTCGAAGTATTGTCGAATATTTTTGAGGTGCTGTCACGAATGCCAGTTACGCTGATTAATACCACGAGCGCTTGCGCGAGTGGTATTAAAAAGCGTAACTAGCATGAGTGGAGCAGCAGCTCATAAATAATCTACAAATACTTCGACTACGAATGGTATTCGGAGGACTATTCAATGAATCAAAAGAAAAATTAAGCATAATTACCCACGCGAATGTATTTCCATGACAACAATAAACGTCAAAATAAATTACGGAAGTTGCTTTTCATTTTTCTATTGATTCTATTCGAACTTTTGTGCTCCAAGCTAATTCGTTATGAGTGATTAAATTAAAAGATGTGGTGATAAGTCGGTTGTTGAAATTGATTAACAAACTAAGAAGAATATTCCGGTTAATACGACAAAATTTTGCGTCATTTCACTGGTGGAAGTTTGACAAATGTCATTGAATAATCGCATTGAATTGTCGCTGAAATACCACACGTGAAATTATCGCTGAAATACCACACGTGCAATTATCATATATAATACCATAAGTAGTCGAAGTATTGTCGAATATTTTTGAGGTGCTGTCACGAATGCTAGTTACGCTGATTAATACCACGAGCGCTTGCGCGAGTGGTATTAAAAAGCGTAACTAGCATGAGTGGAGCAGCAGCTCAAAAATAATCTACAAATACTTCGACTACGAATGGTATTCGGAGGACTATTCAACGAATCAAAAGACAAATTAAGCATAATTACCCACGCGAATGTATTTCCATGACAACAACAAACGTCAAAATAAATTATGGAAGTTGCTTTTCATTTTGCTATTGATTCTATTCGAACTTTTGTGCTCCAAGCTAATTCGTTATGAGTGATTAAATTAAAAGATGTGGTGATTAGTCGGTTGTCGAAATTGATTAACAAACTAAGAAGAATGTTCCGGTTAATACGACAAAATTTCGCGTCATTTCACTGGTGGAAGTTTGACAAATGTCATTGAATAATCGCATTGAATTGTCGCTGAAATACCACACGTGAAATTATCGCTGAAATGCCACACGTGCAATTATCACTATAATTCGTTCCCATTGGTGCAGCAATTTGAAATCGAGACATTTCACTGGTTGAAATGTGACAAATGTTATGTAACGAAGCACCCGGAATTTCCCCATTTAGTTTGCCGTTTACAAGAACACCCGGTATAGTAACGATTGGTTTGGGCTTCGTTACGCAAGAAGACCGCGATATTTTTGTAACCACCGAAGGATGTTTCCTGGCGAAGATGAGGGACAATTAATATTCTTTGGTTTCAGCGCCGTTAATTATTTATAAGATGTTTTAGATTCCCATAATAAGTAAAATCAAGGATAGAACGAGTTCAAATCGAGGTGTTTACAAGTTTTGCAGTCCCGTCCGTATGCCTGCATGTTGCGATAAGAGTGTTAAAGCGATAGCGCCGTTTGAGAAGAAAAGTCCAAAGGAGCTAGTTGCAGATTGGATTGATGAGTACTTAAGTTTGATTACGCTTAATTAGGTAAGCGCTGTTAATTAATGCCATGTTAATGGGCAGTAGTAAACCTTGTCAGAATCCGTCGAGAGAGGTGTCCACAGAGGCGCTGTAATTTTTCTAGTTGTTTGCAAGTTGTCCCAGATTTTTAAGATAATCACAGGAGCCGCAATTAAGTAATTAAAAACCGAATTATTTTCTACCGCTCTCGGTACGAGTACCGCCCGGCTTTGGAAATTCCCTGTTCCACCTCCACCAAAATTGGTTTCCTTTAAAAGGAAAATGCTCATTTTGGGAGGGATCTTTTTCTGCTTCATACTTTCGAGTTGTAAGTACGCCTTTTGATTTCTTTAATTTGCGAAACCGTATCATTCCGAATCCACCGAAACCCTTTTGTTTTACCGTTTTACCGTTTGAGCGACCGTAAGTCAATCCGTTATCCTTTCCGTTTAACTACCGTTTTGAGTTTACCTTTTTGCACTACCGTAACTTTTACCCCGTTCCGCTAAGTTTCATTACCGCCTTAAGCTTACCGTATTTTCTATCGATAGTGTTACCACCGTTTAAATCACCGTTACTTAACCAAGGTAAGCGCTTAATTTTCAATTACGTTGATTAAAGGGGGGGGGGAGTATATTCTGTTCTCCTTGTTTTTCCGCTTTTCGTTCCCCTAGACACCGCTAATTGATTTGTGCTTTATTGCTTTATTCCCTTTAGGAAATTTACCGTCCGGGCCGTTGGCCATATTTTGTTTTAGATTATCCGGAAGTGACCGCCGCCATTTTGTGGTGAACCCTGACCGATCCCTGGTTATTCCGTTCTCCACTTGAGGATACCCGGAGGCTTTCCACCCCGTCCGCGAAGACCGCACCGCCCCTTTTCCCAAGACTTAGGGGGTGCAGATTAAGTCTTGGTGGCGCCCGAGTGACCGACCGACCGTCCCCGGTGTAATAATTGAATTGTACAATTATATTATTGTTCGACAATTAAATGAACTTGAAATAATTGTGCTTTCCCTTATTTAGAATACCGTTCGTGCACGAGCTAAGGGGGAAGTTCGTCGCAGTTAGATGAATTGAATAGTCACTTGTATAATTCCAGTGGTGTATGTAGGAATCACTCTCAAAGAGTAATAATTTATTTTTAATATACAAATAAGTCGTTTATTCGTTATTCGTTAATCACAATAATGACGTCGATTCTCATAATCAAGAGGGTGCAGTTGCTGTAGAACAGAAACCCGGTACGAGTGTATGTATACGTAGATCTTTATGCAAAATTCGTTGGCATGTTGCATAACATACTCCTGTAATTCAAAAATAAAGTTAGTACCTAGGTATAATATTCATTCTACGTGTACCACTTACCAGCTTGGGCGCTAAACTGACGGATTTTGATTTTCTGGGACTCGCTTCCATTCGTTGTCTTCGACCACTTCATCGTTTCTTAGTAATGGACGACCTGTAGGTATGTTTTAACATCAGGATACTCTTCCATAATTTGCTCTCGACAGGACTGGAACAAATATGATCACCTTCCATCGTCGTTACGTAGGTATAGCACTTCGAAAATGAGTTTTCGAAATAAAATGTGTAAAGGGGATTTGTAACCTACAATAATGCACATTAGTCTGATTTAACCGTTATTTAATTACTTACTTAAACAAATTCTTGAATTTACAGCGTAGTTTTGTAAAGAACTGTTTGATAATACAGATTGGAAAAGTAAATTAAAAACAACAAATTAAGGAAATAACGACGGCACTGGTGACTAATAAGAATTAGTAAAATAACTAAAAATATATCATCGCCAATTCTATCCCGTAAAAAACACTAGAATTGCACGCGCGAAATTCAAACTGTCATCAGTTCTAATGATTCACCCGTATTAGGGCGAAACCCTTTTTGCTCGTTTAGTTTTCTCCATCTTCTTATATTTTTTCCCATTTCTCTCTTCATTCTGTTTACTTTTCTTTTTCCTTTGTAACTTATTTTCTGTTCCCTCAAACATAGGGGACAATCTGGAGCAAGAGAGGTAGGTAGTTTGTTGTAGAAAACGCTAAACACACAATTTACATCACATCTGCAATATTCAAAAATTAAGCATCCGAAGAAGTAGACTCTTGAATTTGAGTAATTTAATACAACATTTGATAAGCCAAAGAATGGCAAACTCAAAGAGACTTCAAGACGCCTTCACTACTTTCCCGTTTGTGAAAAATAACGAAATACATGAATAATTAGTCGGACCTTCTTCAGTCCAGAAGGTATCGAAGGCCCTGGATACGATAAATATTATTATTATTAACCTTAAACTAAAGTTGTATTTCGAGATTAATCCGCTAAGTAATTTTAACACTCTGCCATTCACCTTCGCACGATTCAAAAAGGCAGATTCATACAAAGAATCGAGTGAACAACTGATCAATCTCAAACAAATCAAAATATCAATACCATTGAACGTTAAACAAGCAAATAACAAACAAGTTCCAGGGTTACCTACCCCTAAAGTTACAAGTAGCTGAAGGTATTACAATTTAAAATAAAGTTAGGAATTACAAATACAACTAAGCACAGTATCTTTTTCTACCTATATGCGACATAAACACGAATATTGAATTATTATACAAATGAAAAAAATTCAACTGCAGTGCCTGAACGAAGAAAGCAAAGTGACACTACCAATGCTTTAGAAACGTATAACTGATTAATGACAGCAGTATGAGAAATATTGCATGGGTAGTTTTGTGTAGTAATTTACATGAATAGAATAAGTTTAATTCATCATTAGATCTAGACCCAACCCTTTCAGATATGGATACACGGCGTTAGGTGATCAGACAACCGATGAGATGCCTAGGTCGGGTGTAACTAACATGCCTATTATTCTGCGGCGATGTTCATGAATATTTGTAACCTTAGCAAGAGAATTCGATTTTTGTTCTGCTAATACAATTGAATCCCTTACTTTGGGGTCTCAATCTCTGTCACTCACGTTCCAACATTTCCGTTTTGATTTTGATTGGATTGCAACGCACTCCTCCCGTAATAACGATCCAAAGTACATTAGCTGCAAGGTAATATTTCGCCATTACCGACACTGAAAAATATCTTTCAATGACACCAAGAGCTTGAGGGTGCACGACTGATAATATCGAGTTTCTGTATTCAATATGCGTTATGAAAATAATTGAAGAGGATCGAAAAAAGCGAAGTTAATAACGACGTAAATTTCAAATGATCGTAAAAAAGAACTTTTTGGGATTCGAGCTTCATTAAAACTGTTTAATCTCCTTTCCTCGTTACTGTGCCAAATTAGATATTTGTACGCCCACACGCGCACAAAGCCTTGAAACAAACGAGAGAATGGCCATTTAATTGAGTTTAACCCCCCTCTCGTACAGACGTAACAGCTCATGCAAGATTTACAATTTTCATTGTTTTTTAAGACGTCTTCTTAACATAGGGTTCGGTTTTATGACGGAGATAAAATGAAATGTTACGTGAAGTCGTGTCGACTGCACTACATAGGATGATCTTTCATAATATGAAATCAAATGGTCCAATTCTTAACAAGAAGTGCTTCCGTTTCTCCTGCAATTTATTGGACGTCTGAAATGGATTTGACGGGATTCAAAGGTTTTTGTTGCTAATGAGATCATTCTTCCTCTCTCGTTGCCTAATTAATTCTTCATTTCCAAGTCTCCCATACATCTCGAGAGGAATTGTATTTTTACTCTAAAGCTTGCGTTCAAGACTGTTTTGCAATAATCCTAAAAGTAGTTAGTTCCACTTTTAAAGCCTTAAAATCGTGTGTTCAAAACAGAACTGGGATCTTTCTTCATTTTCAGAGGAATCATGAGCGTCCTAAGAAATTACAGAGACAGTCTCAAAGTATTGAAATCTAGTTCAGAAGTCCGCAGAGCCTTGGGCCATAGAACCCTCGGTATCTTAAAATATTAAACTCTCAGAATCGTTCAAAATTGGACATTTCTCCAACTCCTATAAATCCTTGGATTCTTGGACTCTTGTACTGCTGGACACGTTGGATTCTTGCGCTCATGGACTCGGACGCTTCGTCTCTTGAATCCTTGGATTGTTTGGATTCTTGAATTTTTTAATCTTCGACCCTTGGACCCGTTGAGTTCTGAGATCTGTGGAGCCTTCAGTGCTTGTACCGGGTGACCCAATAAGACTGTTCCTCGGCCATATCTTGGGAACCGTTCGTCGTATAGTATGACTTAGGGGTAAAAAAATTATGGGCTAAATCGGCCATGAAGAACCGCTGGAAAATATTTTCAAGTTCTAAAAATCACCACCAGAGGGCGTAACTGCCATCTTAAATTTTAAAATTACATTTTCTTTAAATTTCGCATAATAAACTAAAATTTTTTTTTCACATTTTTAAAGAGAACCAGTGTATCCATCATTTTCATAAAAAAACTTAGTTATATATTTCAAAAACAAAGATGGTGTGGGGCGTTAAATTGATTTTGCAATAACCTGCTTCAACTTCTTAACCGTTTGACCGATTTTAACAAATTTGGTATCTTTGAAAGGAGCCTTCTTTGGGCAACAAGAATCAACCAAACCAAATATAGTTAATTTAGTTGAATCCTTCTCCGCCAGGGGGCTAGTTTTGACACCATGGCCCAAATTGTTAAAAAAATCAAATGGAATGATATGACTTTTTCTTTATCAAAAAGTAGCCAAATAGCATCCAAAGAGGCCAGTGAAAACCGTTTTTCAAAATCTCGTTCCTAACCTCAAATATTGAGAAAATGAGATTAATGGATCTTTGAAGGCCAAGGATCACGCGGGAAATTTCCTAAAACTACTAAAAATTTAGCTACAAAATGAATATGATGTTAGAGGCAATTGTGAGTCTAAAAAATATAAATTATTAAAAAATATATATCATCAGATATGTTATTTGGCTACTTTTTCATAAAGAAAAATTCATATCATTCCATTTGATTTTTTAAATTATTTTTTTAGGATTTTGGTTCATGGTACCAAAACTGTCCCCTGGCAGAGAAGGATTCAACTAAATTAATTATATTTGATTCTTATTTTCCAAGGAATGCTCTTTTCAACGATTCCAAATTTGTTAAAATCGGTCAAACCGTTAAGAAGTTAAAGCAGGTTATTGCAGAAACAATTGAACGCCCCACACCATCTTTTTTTTGTTTTTACGAAAATGATAGATAAACCGGTTCTCTTTAAAATGTAAAAAAAAAATTTATTTTATTATGGGAAATTTAAAGAAAATGCAATTTTAAAATTTAAGATGGCAGTTACGCCCTCTGGACCCCTAGATTCTTTGACCTTTGATACTCTTGAATTTTTTGAACTTGGATTGTTGGGCTATTTGACTTTTCACTCCTTGAATTGCGTAACCTTAATGGAATGTAACATTTTGGACAAGGAATTTTTGGAATCTTCGAGTTATGGTATCTTGAACCTTTGCATACTATTCGATTCTTGTACTCCTTGAGTCACGGTGTCCCCAACTCCTCGACTAATAGACCAACGAACGTTCGGATTCCGTAACCGATGCTCTCCTGACCTCCTGAACCCTGATACGCTTGTACTTCTGAACTCTTGGACCCTTGACTCCTAGATTCTTAGACTATTGTACCCTCGAATCTTTGGAATCTTGTACACTTGTATACCTTTAGACTTTTGGACTTTTGAACCTTCCGGTGCTTGTGAAACTTTGATCTCTTGGACTCTTGCGCTCTAGAACTTTGGATTCTTAGACCGTTGGAACCTTGACCCCTTACGTTGTTGAACGCTAAGACATTTCGGCTATAGTAGAGTTGAGATCTTAGACCCTTAGATCCTTGGATCAATGAAATCTTGTACTCTTGGATTTATAGAGCTTCTACCCGAGGAATTTTGTGCTTGTGTACCCCTGAACCTTTGAATATTGAATTTTTCGACCCTTGAACTGTCGTACTGTTGGATTCTTAGATTCTTGATCCTTAGACCTTGGATTCTGGG